TCTGGTCGCACGGAGCAGTGATGAGTTTGGTTATGCAGGGACGGAGGATTGATGCATGGTCTTTGGCAGCCAAAGGTCATGGAGGATCAATTAACATGGTACCAGTGGTACGACCTCCTCCTGAACCACCACCATGGGATGCACGAGGTGCTAGAGTTCGTGAACGTTTTTCTTGTAGTTTTTATCTGTTTGTTATTTGTTTTCTTGCGTCCATTTTTGTTGTTGGGTTTGACAGTTTGTTTGAGTTTTTTGCCTCTCTTTATGTCATTGGGTATGGTTGGATCTATGAGAATAGTTTTGGCTGTGTCAAGCCCACTACATGGTTAGCGATTCGTGTTGCTCTCTCATGGGTGACCGTCTCAAAGTCTCACCATAGGGTTACAGTCGTAGTTGTTGGAGTTTCAGTTGGTGTCTGTTTTATTTTCCCTTTGTTTGATGTAATGATCCTGATGAATCTTTTGATATGAATAAAGGCATGTTTTGATGATAAAAAAAAACTATTATACTTCCCTCACCGAAAATTAAAGTGAGTAGTTTCCTCTAGCACCCATCTATAAGGGCCAAGCAAGTAGCACATTTTCAAAGTGTGAAAAATGCCTAAGCTTTTGAGGGCCGGCTTGACATCTTAAGAGACCCAGTGCGAATCACACAAATGAGGTCTTTTAGTAAAGAAAATGCATAGATCTAATATACATTATAATTGTTCAAATCCACACTTGCTACAAGCCTTTTAAAAACATCAGAATTTCAACAGGACCCATCCTTTTTAGGCAAAAGTTATCTAAGTAACTCTAACTCAACAAATAATTCATTTCTATCAATATCAGAATTTTCATTATTTAAGTACATTTTCAAAATGACTACAACAAGCCTTTAAACTTTCACAGTTTCACCATGCCTTTAATGTGTTAGTACACAAGAAATCAAGCGCATTTTGGGAAGTGGAAGGGATTTCTACCTTTTTAATAAGAGAATGTGAGAAACAGAGTAGTGGAGAAAGAAGATAGAGTAGGGGTGCAAATGTGTAATGCTTATGCCGACTTGTTTTGAGTTGCTCAGCGTTTAACAGTGTTTCAAAAATGCAAATGAGCCCCTATTAATATACTCCTTAGTATAAATTAAAAAAAAATGCTATATAAATTAAACAATTACTTTATATATATACCATATATATTTTTTTAAAAATAGGCCTACTGTTTTTGGAGGCCCTGTGCAATAGCCCAGCTTGCACAGCCTCATCTACAGCTCTGCTTTTGAGTCAATCTTGAGCGGTTCGCGAAATCAAGTAAAGCTTTCGAGTCGAACTCGAGTTTCAATATTGATCAAGCTCGAGCTGAACTCGAGCCTTTAAATTATTATCGAGCTCGTGTTCGAGCATATGTGAGTTCGGGCTCGGATTTGCTCGTTTGCACTCCTAGCACTTCGTATAAGGAGGATGAAATTTTAGATGATTGTTAGCATGTTAGGTGATAAAATTTTGTGATAGAGCTAGAGAATTTAGATAAAGTAAGATAAGTGTGATGTTTTCCTATTTGTGCATCTCTTCTTCAAGAGTGCACTACAAAAAATTTAGATATAGATAATTTGAACTTTCATTTTATTGTGAGGTTTTTACAAAAATATTACTAATAAAAATCTATGGGCAAAAATGTGACTATAAGTTTTTATGAGTAAGTTATACTGTCACTACGATTTAACATTTGAATACAAATATAGTCAAAGAGTTTTGTGTTTTTATTGTAAGCACATCTAGGTCCCAGTGGCGGATCCAGGAAATAAGACTATTGGGGGTAGAGTAAAGTGATGTACACAGGCATGGGCCTGAATCGGATCTGGGTCCAATAATTTTTTTAAATTTTCCCGGTTTTAGGCTGGAAAAAAAACTTGCCCGGCTGGACCGAAACTGGGACTAGAACTGCTCGATTCAGTCTCCAAATTTGTAAACCGAGAGCGGACAGGATTGACCCTAGAACCGAAACCGCAAAATAGGACCATTAGGGCAGGGTCAAGTGGTGTACATAGGCATGACCCGGGTCCAATATTTTTTTTATTTTTTCCAGTTATAGGCTGGAAAAAAATATCGTCCGGCGGAACCGAAATGGGGACGTACTAGGGTCGGTCCTAGAACCAAAACCGCAAAAAAGGACCCGATTCGGTCTGAAACATATATTCTTACCTATAGAAATATATTTTAAACCTTGTAATTCTAAAATTCTGCCCATAAATTCTGGTATAAAAGTTTATTTAATTTTTTCAGTCCCATTAGAAGGTTCCCACTTTCCATTTTTGGATGTCCCATTAGAAGGTTCTCATTTCCATTTTAGGAAACAATTAACAATCTTAAGTGACAAACTAATCATTAAATATTAAAAATAATACATTTATAACATGGCAGTTATCAATACTTAGTACATTATAATATATATCTATTAAAATTATTTCTCAAAATATACTCAAAGTACTTTATTCAATTATTGCCTAAAAAATCGTGTCGTTTTACTATGGGAACCTTCTAACGGGACGGAGGTAGTGTGAAGTATACTGTTTAAACCTTGTGTTACCTATATAAATAAATTTTACATGGTTAGATATCCTAAATTCCTAATACTAGTTTTTTGGACAATTCTTTCTAACCTACATCGTATCTGCTCAATGTTAATGTCAACATCCTTGAATTGGGATGAGATTCGAACCTGTGACCTTCTCATTGGGAGTGTCACAGTGATTCCTAATACTAGTTATAACTACTTTTAAATATATATTACGTTGTAATTGTTAGTTTAAACTGTCATTTTTATAAGTTTGGATAAATATTGGTTATTTACCATCTCTTAACCACATAAGAAATGCAGAAAGCTTGATCGTTAAATCTACACTTTAGACTTAAAAAAATACACAAATGACAAATTATACAAATAGTGAAATAGGTAGTACAAGTACCTATTTCATTATAGGTGGTACAAAAATTCTTATTTGGCTGAAAGATTTAAACTTTCCAATTAGAAATGCTAAAAAAGTGAAAAGTACTCCGTATAATAGTTTGGATTTTGGGCATTAGTTTATTTCACTTATTTGGGTGAATGCGTGACTAGGCTGGATGGATAATGGGGGCATTTGTTTTTTTTAATTGGGGGCAAATAATTCTACTCGAATATTCCCTAATGAATTAGATGAGATAATTGGCCTTTTATTGGGGGCAGCTGCTAGGTCCGGCCCTATGGGTGACATGTGAGCTGAGCCAGCCCGGCCCGGCTCTATAACCAAACTATATCGACGGGTTAGTACTACAATTTTATTACAAAAGCCTGACCCGAATTACCCTTTGATTAATTTTTATATATTAAGTCCTGCTTGGCGGCCAGCCCGAACCCATTAGTTTTGGGCCGGTGTAGCCCAAGCTAGCTCGTTGATGATCTATAATGTCACGCAGGTTAAAAATTCCACAAAGCCCTCCCCACTCAAGCAGTGAGGCTCTTCCAACTTTGTTATCTTTAAGTAACAACTTAACAAGTATAAACATAATTATACCAATTTATTAAATATAAATAATTTAATTGGTTCATCAATTAATTACAATAAATTATATGTAACAACCTAATTTGTTAAATTTCATTATTTCATCTTAAATTAGTAGGTCTAAACCTTAACAACCCTAATAAATAATTAAAATCACTAAATCAATCACTCGATCACAATATCACAGATTCACATAAATTACATAACAAATTAATAATGAAACCTGGAGGTTGCAGAGGCTGAGACAGTGAGATGCGTATAGGCGGTAGAGCGATAGATTCTAATGGTGGATTGGTAGAGTCGCAATTGTGAAAGGATGCTGCGTCACTGACTCGCTTGAGACCTTAAGGCTCCGTTTACTTACGACTTAATGGACTTAATGAATAGATGACTTAATCGTCCAGTTATATACCCGTCTTTACTTGTGACTTGATGATAAAACTGACTTATTCAGTCAGTCAAGTTGTGACTTATTCGCTCAGCCAGCTAAGTCACTTTAGTCGCTTGCTAGACTGCTCGTATGCGGCTATGCTCCTCCCAACGTACACCTTTTTTTGCTATTGGCTATTGGGCTAACGGACTAAGTAAGAGTAATATACTAGTAAATTTTTGTGGGCCTTCCAAATTTTTGGGTCCTGTGCGATCGGGCTGCCCAACCTTCCCCTGGGTTGGCCCTGTGTACACGACAGTTCGTTCAGAAACCCCTGGACTGGCTGTGTGTACACATGTGACTAAGGTTATGTTTGCCACAACGAGCTGGAGCTGGAGACTAATGTCTGAATTAGACACTATTATCTGAATTAGAGACGACTATTGTCTGGAGCTGAACTTTGAAGTGCTGAATCTGAATTACTAACTGAATGAAATATAACTGTTTGACAAAAAGAACTGAAAAAGTGCCTAGGTAATATAAAATTACATTAACGGGCATATGATTTATTAATAGAACAAAATATTAGTTAAAATAATGATTTTTATATTTTCAGCCTTTTCAAAACTTTAGTATATACGATCAAAAAAAAACTTTAGTGTGTATATATATTTATATACTACGTGTTCAATATATTATATATGTGTGCGTGTGTATATAATTTTGTTATAATAAATTAACTTTATGAATGCATACGAATCATGAATAACCCATTGTCGAAGAATTAGATTTTTTACAGCTAGCGGCATGGAGACCTACATCGATCACTAGCATTACATAGGTTGGAAAATTTCAAATTAGTTGCACCTATTACCCGACGAAGGGACAAACCAAAAAAGTGTTGGAAATATTTAATATATTTCAAATAAAAACTTTTGTTTTAATTAGTATCTAATAACCGAGCACTTAATTGACTGAGTCGGTTATCTCAATTGTTTTCTAACGTGCATCTTGGTTGAGGGAGTAATACTTGGCTGAGCTTTTTTATCTCCAACTTTTTAGGATCAATAACAATATTATTGTTCCACTTCTTCCTTCCATTAAAGACGACTCACGAACACTTCTGCTCAAAATCATCTTCCCTGCAAACTTTACTAAAAGCCTTCATTAAAAATGCTTTCTTATAAAAGCCTTTGCTGGATTATAATTATGAATTCCCTCGTAGTTCTGGTTCCGACTATTTGTCGAAGGGCTCGTTTAATCCTGGGGGAAGATTTCCGTTCATCGGAAATACTTTCAGAGGACAGCGTTTACGCGACTCGAGCCACGGTGTTTCTTGTTGTTATGTTTTGCAGGTCTTTCTCCGTGTTGGCGACACAAGTGTTTTGGACCTGCGGTAATAAGATTAGAACAAAGTGCTGCCATGGAAGAACTAAAGAAGATGATACCCAGGAACCGCCATGCCGCCGCAAACTGCCGGAGAGGAAGGATGAAGCTCTTAGCCTGAGTAATCTCGTGTTTCAGTCGGCCAAACTGGGACAGCCAGGAGCAAGTGAAGAAGTCAAATTCCCAACAAAAAGAACGACGGTGTAAACGGGAAGGATAATTCTGGCCGGAAATTAAAGAGATTGTAGTAGACAATCGACTAAACCCAAACGCTATCTTCTCAAACGTTTTTCTTCAACCCTTTTTTCCTACTTCATCTCCATGTAGCCTTTCATCCAAACACTACTACATATATAATTATCGACCGAAATAGAAAATTTTCAGCCCATTATTAGCTGAAATGGCTTGACAAACATAGCCTAAACACTGTGTACAAAAAGTACGTGTATGCAAATTATATGTACAAGTATCACCCCAAATTAGTATCCATGCCAGTTGGATTGCCATACGTACACTTGAATAGAGTAAAAATTGGGTTATTGATATTTAATGAGAAAAAAGAATAAAAATCTTAACCAAATTAAATGTTGTTTTTAAAGGAAAAGAGGAATTGTGGATAATGTAGGAAATGAATTATATGGATGGAATTATGTTGGTCAACCCAAGAATCTCCAAAGATCTGATGGAATGTGATTTCTGTTAATGAGAAAGATCGACCTATTGGCACGCACTGTGCATGGCTTCAAGTCTTAGTCAGCGACCACGAATCTCAGATTCTTCATAGCTCTAATTGGAAATTAAAGAATAAGGGAAATGAAGGGTTTAACAATAAATGTTGCAAAATTAATTAAGGCAAGCTTGGTAAATAATGGTCATATGGCCAATCAATAAGATTGTGACAGTTTCGGTCCTTCTTCTGTGAATATACCAACAATGTCAACAAAGTAACAGCTTGTTTGCAAGTTTGTGCAATTCAGCCTTGCAGCCTCAGTTTTACAAACCGGAGACACTGATTATTTTGAGCCCACCGTACGAGTGTATAATATGGCCAATAATTAAGTCAAGATGGATTATTAGGATAACTCCATGTCCAGGGCCGGCTTGACACATTAAGAGACCCGGTGCGAATCACACAAATGAGGCCTTTTTTAAATAAAATGAACAAATGTAAGGTACATATGAATCGTTCAGATCTAGACTTGCTACAAGAATGTCAAAACCATCTAGCACATTGAGTAAAATAACTTGCTACGAGAATACCAAAACCATCTAGCACATTGAGTAAAATAAAGCAGCCATCACTCTCAATTAGCACATCATTACAATTTCCAGATACTCCATTTACATTATCATTCATAATTATCACATCATTATTGCCAACCACATTAAAACTTTGATTTTCAACACAAACTTGAGGATCTCTTTTGTTAAATTTATCAAGAGTTCCTGCTTGAGATTTTATTAGTGCTTCAGCTTTTCATTTTTTCTTCGGCTTGTCCATGACCAGATTCGTACTTTTTCATTCTGGGAGGCATAATATATATCAAGAAATCAAAATAACCTCAATTAGATTTTTAAAAGAAGGATACAACCTGATATTTTAAACCTTGAAAGACTCGATGAATTAGAAGATCCAGAACCGATGTAGTGACCAGCGATGCACTGCTATGGAGTGGATGTGAGAAGCAAAGCTATGGAGAAAGAGAAATGGAGTAATGGTGCAAATGTGAAATGCCGACCTATTTTGGGAAGTTGGAGGGTTTTAGCTTTTTCATTTTCATTTAATTTAGACTGTAGTCTTAGGCTTTGTTTTTGTTTCACAGATGGGCCGTTCGACATTTAACTGTGTTTCATAAAAGCAAATGGGCTCCCATCAATATATTACTATGTTTATTTTTATAAATTAAAAAATTAACTTTATATATATACTATATACTATATATATATTTTGTAGGCCCTGTGCTATAGGTCTGTTTGCACAGTCTTATCTACGGCTCTGTCCATGTCAATAATAATTTAGAAAAATTTGATTCTTTATCACCTCAACGCAAGGGCGGTCCTGTGTATTTCCAAGCGTATGAACTATATATTATTTTGAGCTTATATTCAAAATAAACAATAAACTCACATTATTATCATTTAAATTACATATTTGGTCAAAAGTAACAAGTATCACACAAAAAGCATTACACAAAACGTTTTTCACAGAACCTTGTGTGAAGCAAAATAATCAAAAATTGCTTCAAAATCAACATTTTCCAAATAGGTCTTTATTTAGACATAGTCTATCAAAGATGATTGAGATGAGGTTTGGAAATTTGGAGGCACGGGCTGCCCAACCCCAAGACAAAATTATAAATTTGTAATTTTGTAATTAAAAGGAATATAATAAAAAGGTGAAGGCTAAAAATCAAGAGGCGTGCCTTTAATGTGTTTTAGCAACAAATGTGTTGCTTTGAAAATTTTGAAATTCTATGAATAGCCCTAGTCAACAAAAATTAAAAATTGAGCCTAATTAATTGAACAAAAAAAAGCATACTCAAAACAGTAAAATAAGAAATTGTAATTTTGACTTTATATACGAAATACTACTAGGTGTACTATGTGTTGGTATTGGCCCCCAATTCCCATAAGCCCAATTCATTCTTTGGAGTACCCGGCCCATTCCTTTAATCTCTCTATCGGCATCCCTTTGCGATGAATACTCCTGGCATCCTTTGTGGGTGAAACTTGGACGAGACCTGAGCTGGATTCGAGTAGTAACAGTTAGTTATTACTAAAATAACCTACCACACGCTAAATTTATAAAAATATTATATAATTATGCCAATGAGTGTAGCTCACTCAAAGGAAGGTCACCCTAACCTGTAGGATGGTTTTTTATTACGTACCAATTGTATTATAATAAGGCCTTACGCAATAAAATATTGTATGATTTAAATTAGAGACTATATTGTAATTACATATGAATATTACTTTTTTATTGTATTTTTAAGGAATACCAAAATAAGAATCATTTAAACAAATAAAGAGCTTTTCGTAAATTATACCCCCTCCGTCTCAATTTGTTTTGCAAAGTCAACATTTTTTGGTCAACCAATAATAAAAGTCAATCCTCTTTACGGATAATTAACTCAATTTTAATAATTAAAATTTACATAATTAAAAATTGACATCCTAATTAAGTGAACAAAACAAAACTGTTTAATCAAAAAAGTCAAATTTGCAAATCAATTTGGGACGGAGGTATGGGACGGAGGTAGTAGGTATAAACTATACGTCTTTACTTTTAAACTTTTGTACGCATGATTCTACAACCCCGTATCTGATACGGAGTAGATGATTGTTTAGGTCTGGAAATAAATTTGGATTTAATTCATCATGTCATATAGGCTAAGGACAGCAATGATCAACACGTACCACGCACTGAGGCTTGAAGTGATTAAGTACAGAGTACAACCTACTCTATCATGGGTGGCTATGGGGCTATCTAGAGTCGAGCCCACCCTACCTCTTAATTAGTACTCCCTCTGTCCCCCTAAGTTTGGGACGGAGGGTGTGGTGTGGTTTTTAAGAAAAAATGGAATTGTGTGGTTGGTATTGAATTGATAAAGTGTAAATAAAGTAAGAATGAATTCTAACCACTCAAATGTTACCAAATATGGTATGAGACAAACTTAGTGGGACGGACGAAAAAGGTAAAACGGGACAAACTTAGGGGGACGGAGGGAGTACTATCTCTCAAAAATTCATCAAGTTTGACTATCATGGAAAATAATAAAATAAAATATGTGTGGTTGAAAATTGTGTAAAGGAGAGCAAAATAATATATACCACAAATTTATTGATAGAAAGGAAAGTGACGAACTTTTATACATCCAAAACAAAAGATGACAAAGTTATAAGGGACAAATGTAGTATTATAAACTTGACAAGTATTACTTAGTACAAATTTGGCATAATTGAGAGGGAAAGTTTTTGAAATAGGAGTAAACATGCTTTGAAATTCTAAAATAAGGCTATTATGTTTTTCTTCACGAAATAGGACCAACATGACTAGGGCCGTGCACGTGTCGGGTTCGGGCGGGTCGGGTTTGCGAACCCTAAACCTGTTTAAGTTTTTTAATTTAAATACTAGGCCCGACCCTTTGATATTTCAAATCGGGTATTTCGGATATTTTTAAGTCGGATACTATCGGATATCGGGTCGGGTTTTGTATATTTTGGTTATATTAAAAAATGGATAATTAAAGTGTTTAAATGCCACTTTGGCAAAAATTGTACACACTAGTGCACTAAACATCCAAATTACACAAATAATTTAACACAAATTGCACAAATAATTACACAAATAATTGAACACAAGTATTAATTTAACATATTCAAAATACACACTACATAATTTAATATATTTCGGATATTTCGGTTATATTAAAACACATTATAATTGGATAATTAAAGTGTTGGAATGCCACTTTGACAAAAATTGTACACACTAGTGCACTACACATTCAATTTACACAAATAATTTAATACAAATTACACAAATGATTGAACACAAGTACGGAGTATTAATTTAACATATTCAAAGTACACACTACCATATATTTTGGATATTCGGGCTGGTCGGGTTGGGATTTTACAAACCCTACCCGCCACCCGGTCTAGGACCAATATTAATCGGATTTTCGGTTTCGGGTTTTTCGGGTCGGATATCCACTTCGGTTCGGATAATATCCGAAAAAAATCGGGTTTTTCATGTCGGGTCGGGTTTTGCTCAGACCTAAACATGACAATATTTACTGTCATTAATGACAGTATTGTTCAATCATGACAATAACGACACTTATTTCGAAAATGAAAACATAGCAGTCCTATTTTAAAATTACGGAACATTTTTACTCCTATTTAGGTTAAGAAATTTCAAAGCGTTTTTTACCACGGTACGAGGCATTATTTCTTCTCTTTTTTAATTAAGTTTTGTACTATATTGCTATTAATAATTGTTTGGTGTAGTTTTTTGTTTTGCAATTGCTATATTTTTTAATTAACGAAAATATTTTGGCAGTATCCGGAAAAATCGAAATAGAATAGAAATAAATCAAACAAATCAAAGTATTAAATTGTGGTTTTAAATTTTGAAAAAACAAACTGAATTTTTACTTCGATTTGACATTTAATTTTAGATTAAATCAAACCGTATAAAACGAACTTACCGCATTTAGGAAGGTCATTATTCTCGTGAACATTTTTCTTTGAAAGAATTGTTTACTATCTTTACTCGTGCCGTGCACGGGATAAAGTGATTTTATTTTTTAATTTTAGTCTATGTGTGCGTGTGTACGGGTGTATGTATGCATTATTATAATTAGCAGAAAGTCTTTTATTCAATCGATTATAAGATTAGTTGGGAATGCATATTCTCATTTATTGGATATATCTTTTTATTTAACTAATTATCCAAACATGTTCTCAT